CTGCAAGAAATACAATTTGCTTGCAAGCAGGAACTCGTGGAATTGTAAAATAGAGAAAGTAGTAAAACAATGAAGAAGCTAAACTAGGCTTCTGGTCTGTTAAGAAAAGCTTTATAATTCTGTGATAGATTGAAATGGACAACTTGGGGCTCCATGACTGTAAGTGGTACAAGTGCCCCGCCACCCAGAAATCTAACTCATTTCAATAAGAGGTAGTGCAGTTTCTTAGGATTTTGAGACAATACAACAACTACAGAGTAGACACCCAAAGCAGAGAAGTATCATCTTCTCCTCTAAAAAATGCCTCTGGGGGGAAAAAAAATGAACCCCCCCCCACAGCTATTTTGCTTTGTTATATCGGCACCCTGTGGCTTGCAAATGCTCAAAAATATTTTCTGAGGTTCTTAATCATCTAAAAGATGATTCTCTTTTACAGTACTATATCTAGTGCTTGCTTTATCACATCCTGCAATGCCTTCTTTTTAAAACACTGGTTAACGTAATCTTCTAAAGTAGTCTTCTAGTGCTGAGTTATCAACTCAGTGCTTTTTAAATTTCTGACATTCCTTAAAAATGATCAAATAATAAAAATACAGACGGTCACATGTTGATTCGTGCAGGCCAATGGAGACTAGCCTGCTGCATCAGCATGGATACGCAGTTGACCTAAAGGACAGTGAACCTTTGCAATATGCAGTCTTGAAGTTTTACTGTTTTTGAAGAAATTGTGGTAATGGGCCAATTCTGTATTTAATTCAGAAAGAGATATGATAAACAACTGAAAGCAATGTCCAGATGCACTCCATCTAACTGGGGGGAAAAGTTATTTACAAGCTTATTGTTCATTTGGACCCATGCAGAATCACAGAACTGATGGGCTATGATCCAGTCCGCTAGCTGAATCAAAGAGGACTCAAAGAAATAAATAACTGTGCCTTTTCCACAGAGCAACTGGCTTAGCATGTAGTATGAGAAATTTTGCTGGTCTTGGCAAATGGAATTCTGTAAAGGCTTTGGTAGGTGATATAATGTAGGGTTCCAATGCTTAAATAGGAGATAAAATAATAAACATGTAACTAATAACTGATCCAAAGCTATGACTTGGACTTTTCTTGTCTTGGGACAGGAAAAATGTAATTGATACCATTACAGGGCGGGGCATAACCTTTTCCTAGGGGGTCATAGCAACACTTGTAATAACAACACAAATAATT